CAGCCGCGAGAGCCCGTTAGTGGGCTAGACATCCCCTGGGAGAGTGTGCGCTGGAGGTGAAGAGGAGTGATGATGCTAGAGTGATGGTATGAGCTCATCCTCCTAAAATAGTTGTAGTGGGGCGATGCCGTCAGACTCAGAGAGTCAGAAATTGAAGTAAAGATGCAGAAATCTAATTTAGCCTGCAGGTTCTACCCCTCAAGAGAGCCGGTACGTCCACTTGCTTTTTACTGATTTTATGGCGTTTAGTCATCATACATCTGGCTTGTCCATTTAACCAAGGTTGCATTGGTAACAAGTCCAGGAAGAAATATCGTTCCTTCTGGAGGATCCCAAGGTGTTCCAAGGCCAGAGAGGATATACAAACTTTCCATCAAGTTCTGGGTCTCCTCCCAGTGGGATGTGTGTGGAAACCCCTCAGACAAAGCCAATGTGGAGGCACAAACCAACTCATTCGTTTTGATGAGGATGAGCAGCAGCTCTACTTTGAGATGACGAAGCTCATCACCTTATCGTTAAGTCTGGGCTGGGCCAACTACAGACAGCTCGTTTCAGCTTTGAGGTCTTGTTCTAATCACATGACTACAGCGGAGGGTCGAAAAGCAGAGGAACTAGAAGATAAACAGACCATGACAACACTCATTTTACGACAGGAGAAGACTAAGCCCATCACCCCATCTCTTGTGACTAAAGACAGAGATACGAAAACTCCTCCTCTTGAGTCAAACACTCCTCTCCAGGCAAAAGGGAGTGTTCTGCCTGTTCCTGGTTGGGAACCAGGACATGGGACATGGTCTCTAGTATGAATGATTGTCTTGTGAGTTATTTCCTGTGAAGAAAAGCTCTGGTGCTCCTGTTTCAGTGGGTAGACGCGTGTCAGATGAATGGGGGGGGGGGGGGGGGGTCTCAGAATTATGGGTCTTATTCATTAATGTTCTTGATATGCAAAAGTCTGCCTCTGATTGGCTAACAGCAAAACGACTCTAACGCTGAAAGAGTTGTGCTGTGTGGTGAGGTTGCTGATGCTAACGGTTAGCTTCTACTAACTGAGACACACTCTGCTTTGAACCAATATGAATACGAATCTCTTCTGTGACATAAAAGAGGCTGGCTTTTTCTGACCTAATCGATTCTTCACCTGTTTTTAAAACAGACGTCATAATTATTCATCCAAACCGTGGGTCGGTGGTGGGTCCAGATGTTGATCTGGGTCTTCTGTCTCCCTTTCTGAAGCCAGTTGTCACTGACTTGGGGGTGAGAATTGACTCTAAACTTTAAGTTTGATGCTCACATTAACTCGGTGATCTGGTCCTGGTTTTTCCATCTGCCACGCCTTACTAAAATCAAGTCTATGCTGTTGAATGCTGACCTGGAGCGGGTACTCCATGCATTTGTAATCTCAAGACTGGATTACTGTAACTCTGTGCTCGGCTGGGTCAGCTCCCTGTCCCTCGTGTTAAGTCTCACACTCGTAGGGACCGGGCTTTCTCAGTTTTAGCGCCCTCACTCTGGAACCAACTGTCACTCTCAGTTAGGCTGCCTCTATCCCTGCCAGTTTTTAAGAGTCGTCTTAAAACTCTTTTTTTTCGTTTAGCGTTCCCAGATTATGCTTGAGATTGGCCCTCAGTTGTGTTGCCTTTTCTATGTTTTTATTCTGTTTTATCATATTTAATTTTTCTTAATCCATGTTTTCATTATTTTATCATGTTTTTGTATTATTTTATTCACTGTAGTGCATTCTAGTTTTTTTTCTTTATGTGCTGTGTTTAGTGTCTTGGGCTCCCGTAGAGGGTTGTGGAAGGCGCTCGATAAATAATGCCTTGATTGATTGATTGATGATTGATTGATTGATTGATTGATTGATGATGGATGATTGATTGATTGATTGATTGATTGATTGATCGATTGATTGATTGATTGATTGATTGATTGATTGATTCTCTGGCAGCTAATGTAGGCTAAAAGGCTTGAAGAAATTGTTTATTCTCAGCATGCATGTGAAACTCACAGTGACCAAACTTTTTTACTGCTGCACGGGTTCTCAGTCAATGTGTTTTCATGTGAATCTAGGGTGATCTATGGCAATAAACTGGGAGCCTTTATCTTAGTAAGCATGTATGGTAGAAAACCTAATTTTTGAATAATGTGTGTTTCACTCCACAACCGTAGGTGGCAACGTGAGCCCTTTTGTGTCGGTATTCCTCCAGTTAGCCTGTAGCAGCAAAGATGTGTGAAGCAGACAGAGTAAAAGCAACGACCAAAGGAAGGAACAACAACGCTGCAGCACAGCTTCTCTGGTACAAACGGTACTGTCCGATGGTGTTACACGAGCAACTTTGTGTCGATGATATTATCAAGAGACCACCTTCATGATCTTGTTACTTGCAGAAGTTAAATGTCCAACAGTTCAAAGCTCAGCTGAACATGCAGATGCAGTTGGACTCCAAAGGCATTATCTTGGTATTTCAGCTCAAGTAACCAGTTCACCTTCAGCCAGACT